GAGGAGGGGAAACTGAGGCACGGCACAATGCAGTGACTTGCCCACGGTCACATAGGGAGTTGGGAGGTGAACCTAGGAGGCCTGGAATTTCCCTGGGCCATAAGCACAATAGCACTTCCCTGCTCCCCAACACCCAGCCTGGCTGATGTGTCTCTGAGGGTGGTGTGGAATAAGTAAATTCTGCAGCACCTCAGCCTTCGTTTCACAAATTAATTCTCTAATCCTCGTGGCTGCAACCCAACCGGTGTGACAGTTGCCAGAGTCTGCAGAGAGCCTGACACAACAGCTCTGAGCAGCAAGAACTGGCTGCATTTGTCTCCATGGGCTCGTTCACACTTGAAACTAACGATGTCACTTGCTGGCACATCAGCGTATCTTGACCTACTGATTGTTTGGGTGTATGAGGCAAGAGAAGGGGATGGGGGTGACACCAATGCAGGGAGGGGTAGTTGGGAGTTGCCGTGGGGAGACTGAACAAGGATTCATGTCTATAGTTTAACTCCTGTTGATTCTGAAGCCTAACGACAACCCTTTAAAATGTCAGTTTTCACTCTGTCATTGCTGATGGTCTCAGCAGATGGTGGGAGAAGGAGTGGGAGTTAAGCCCATGTGGGGCAAGGCGAACTGGGAGCTGACACAAGGAAGTGAGGATTGTTCACATCTATCGTGTCTGCCCATGTTGACTCTGGAGCCTAATGATGGCCTGTAACAATAGCAGTTGTCACTATTCCATGGCTGATTATGTTAGTGGGGGTGGGAATGGAGCCACCAGGGCAAGGGAACTGGGAGCTGCTACAGGGATGGAGGGAGGGAATTCAGCCCCACAGTTTAACTCTACAGCACAATGAGGGTGCTTGAAATCACAGCTGGGCTGGTTGAGATTTCCTGCTTTTCCCTGGGGGGAGGGAGAATTCAGCTCTTTTCCCAGAACCTGTCGCGGTTACGAATCTGTGTAGAGACACTGAGTCTCACTGGCCGCAGTTTCGCTTTTTAACAGAGGTCTCCTCAGCAGTGTGGGGTGGGGCAACTGGGGAACCGCCGCATGACGCCGCTGCCTGGGGATGGCTTGCCTGGCGCTGATATGCAGCCAGCTCTGGGGTGCGGCAGCAAGGGAACAGCCACACACGCTGCACAGGGATGGCTGGCCCAGGGCTGAGATGCAGCCAGTTCTGGGGCGGGGCAGCAGGGGAACAAGGGTGGTTGCAAGGCTCAGCTCTTCCCACGCCAGATCCCCGGTGCAAGGGGAAAGCTGGCGCGACTGGGGCTGCTGGGAGCAGAAGAGTATTTCCTACTGACAGTGGTTCTCCAAAGGGCCCCGGGTGGAGATCTGGGATGCGAAGATTCCTGCAAAGTTTATGGGGCTCAGAGAAGTAAGGGGCGCTGGGCTGCAGGGAGGTGGGGAGGGGCTCAGTAGGGGGCGCTGTGCTGCAGGGAGTGGGGGTGGGGAGGGGCTCAGCAGGGGATGGAGTGGGGACTCAATAGGGAGCTCTGTGCTGCAAGGAGCGGCTGGTGGGCTCAGTAGGGGGCGCTGTGCTGCAGGGAGCAGGGCGGGGGTCAGTAGGGGGTGCTGGGGAGCAGGGAGTGGGCGGGGGCTCAGTAGGGAGCGCCGGGGGAGCAGGGAGTGGGCGGGGGCTCAGCAGGGGGTGCCGGGGGAGCAGGGGAGTGGGCGGGGGCTCGAGGTAGGGGGCGC